GGGGGAGCCGAAGGGCTGCAGACCTGGGGCTGGTAGGAGCTGGGGTAAGTGGCGAGGGCCGAGAGGGGCTCTGCGGCCCCAGGCTGGCAGCGGGCGAGGAGGGGTCAGGCAGGAGCCCGCACCACACAGGGCCTGCGCCGCGCTCACCCAGGAGCCCTGCCCTTGCACATGGTTTTTCTTGTTCCTCCTTTTGCTCCTCCGTGTGTGTCACTAGGCCCCGTCAGGGCTCTGCGCAACACATGTGTGCGTGCACCTGTGTGTATGTGTGTGCGTGGGCACATGCATGTGCGTCTATCCCCCCCCCGCAGGCCTCTGCACAGAAATGGAGCTCCCTGGCCGGGGAGGTGGATTACAAACAGGTCCTGCAACAGGAGCGGAGATGTCCTTCCTCCCTATCTTCCCCTCCCGTTGTCCCCTTGCCCGCACTGCTGCCATCCTGTGCAGAGATCCCTCCCCCTGATGCCCACCTCACCTCAGAGGGACAGGGAAGGAAAGGCACGGGGGGGGGGGGGGGGGTGGGGGCGCAGTTGTGCTGGGAAACGTGTTCATCTCAAAACCACAACTGCCAGGCAGCTACAGCTAGAGTGGTGTGGAAATCTCAGCTTTCGTTTCTTTTAAACCTTGTTTATTCCTGTGCTCACAGATAAAATTATGATGATGTAAAGCCCTAGAGCTCTTAAAAGGCAGGGGAAAAATCCAGAATCCAGATGTGTCACACTTAAATATATACATCTTTTATATATTTATATACATATATATGCCTATAACAATTTTAAGATAACCTCTTGGTTCTGGAGTCAGGGTTTACTATTTTTAATGCCTTGGGTTAGCACAAAATATCCTGATTCCTTCTCAAAAAAGTGTCTTAAACATATTCTCTAAAAAGTAGCTAATGCAAATATATTGAATTGTGGAAACGTGGGATTTCTCAGCAATTTGGGATCCATTTTCTTTTGTGCAGTGAGAGCATGAGCTACGCCTTAGCCCGTATTAAAGCTTCCATTGCTATTTCCATTCTGAACTTTTCTTTTGAGTGATGTATCTTTTGATACTTCTACTTATTGGATTCAAATTCTCAAGACAGAGTGTCTGCTTGGAAATTGTTTTGTTTTTCTTCTTGGTTTCAGCAGTCAGCTCAGCTGTTTGCGAGCCCAAAGAGAATGGAAAACAAAATTCTTTCCTCATTCAAAGAAAAACAACTCTCGTGACCTGTTTTGGAAATGCTAGCGCATCAAAACAGCTTTGGTGAGAGAGCTAAAGTGTGGGGTGGAAATAAGCTCACTGAGTTTGGGAGCTTTCCTACTAAAGACGGGGTCTAATCAGGCCAAGTCTGACCTTCTCGCGTGCGCACGCTGGGTTTGTGGAGCAGTGTGCTGATTTTCCGTCATGGCACGCTGCTGCTAGTAAGGCAGGCCGAGCTCATTACGGCGCTTGCAGAGCTGCATACTGCAGCGAACTGAAAGTCTGCCGCAGAGAAACGATTTATGGTGAACAGAGAGCATGGACATCATTTGGATGAATTTAGTCTCGGGCAGAGGGCCAAGACGAGCCCTCATGGCACACATACCTCCTTATCTACTGTTTAAATGCAGCCCTGCTGTGTTTCATGCATTGAATGCAAGATGCGTCACCGGCTTCTGCCTCATGCTCGCCGCCCCTGAAGCTGTCCCCGCAGTGCTGGACAGCACAGCACTCTCTCCCTGCTCTAGGATCTGGCGTGCTGGATGTGATCAATGTCCTCTTAACTCTGATGGGTAAAATCACGGAGAAGGAGGGAGGCCATGGTGGTGCAAGACACCAGTGGCCGTGCCCCAGCGTTGCTTGGCCCAGCCAGCAAACGCCGTCCCTGCCACGGCTCAGTGCGAGGCCAACAGCAGGCCACAGCGCCCTGGGTACAGCCCAGCCACAACATCAACGAGCTACCCTCCAGGAAGGAGACCTCTGAGCACTTTCACTGTGTATCCACAGCATGCCTCACTGCTTTGCCAAAGCGTAGCCCGAGCAGGCTCCGAGGGAGCTCCGCGTGCCCACAGGCGCACAGCACGCAGCGGCTGATGCTCTGTGATCAGTATGCAGCACGGCCCCTGGGGCACCTGCCTCTGCACTTGCACACTTGTTGCTGCCCATGCAACAAGCCCATGCCAGCGTTGCTCCTCGCTCTGTGATGTGCTGTGAGATGCCTTTGCCCTCTACCGAGGGCATGACCCCCTCCCTAGGCTGCCCTCCAGCCTCAGGCACAGGGCAGGAGGAGGAAAAGGAGCTATTTTTGAACTTCTGACAGAAGCCATGAGGCAGTACAGGGGCAACAGGAGCCCGGAGCAGAACTCAAGGAGAGAAGGGGAAAAGGTGCAGTGGGAAAACCTAGAAACAGCAAGGATCCTGTTGGCACCTGCTTTTTGTTGCTCTAACTCAATACATGTTTTTGTCTAGTTTCCTAGGGAAAAATATTCATGCCATTCTGGGGACAAGGGACACACACTTATCAGTCACTCTTTAATACCTTTGGCCAATTTCAACTGAGTTTAGACCCAGAGAGGCAGAGATCCCAAAGCTATCAGCTTTGGGGAAAAAAAGCAGCCAGATAGAGAGACCGTGCTAATATCCACCCTGAGGGGAGGCTGCAGCTTGGAGTCCAAATCGTCTTAGCCTTCAGAAAAACCACCCCAGCGCTCCTCCTCTCTGAGACATGGCTTCCGCAGCTCTGTCACGCAGGGAATGCCTTGCTCGTCTTCCGTGATTAAAGCAAACTGATTAAAGCAAACTCTCACCCCTTGCTGTATTTCTCAGCCACCCACATTCCCATTCTGTTTCCCCTGCGCGTTTCCATTTCTCCTCCTCCGGGGCTCCTACAGACTCCTACACATTCCTCCCTTGCTCCATCGCTCTTTCTACACATAGACCAAATTCCTGGCATTCTCCTTGTGGCCTGTCGTCTAATACCTCCACACGTCTGTTACAGCCTCGGCATCTTTCTGGGGAGGGAGCTGCCTGTAGAAGGTGTTTACACCATATCCAGCACTACACTTCCTTCAGGACAGGATACAGCTAACACCTAAAAAAGGGGAGGTGGTTTGAACATACCTGGAAGAACCCAATGACTGCCACCTCCGCACCTCTAATGAAGGCTTCGACGTCCGCTGTATTATTCAACAGCACAAGTGTCTTTGTGCTTCCAGCCGTGCCTGGACAGGAAAGGTCAGGATTGGACAGAGGATACATAAAGAGCACCTCAAAGAAGTTCCCCCATGCACTCACGGGCATCCCACCTTTTAACGTGTTCACCTGCACTCTCAGCACACCTCTCCCACAACCTCCCTCAGTACAACGCTTGTGCAGCACACCCTGAGGAAGCCGGCTCAGCATAAGGAAGACTCACTCAGCATCCTTCTCCACTTCCCTGCAGACCCTCATGGACCTCTCCCCCTAAAAACCTTTGTGGCGCTCACTCCATGGCCAGACCCAGCCCTTCTTCCTGAGCCAGGAGGGAAGCTCACTTACCGTGGGATGCAGAGCCTCTGTTTTCAGCACATCCTGTTGGGGAGCCCCCAGTGAGGAGGATAATGAAGAGATACGTGAAGACTGAAGTGCCCATGGCCCCAGCTTCCCCTCTCTTCACCATGCCACCCTGCTCTGGTCCTCTGCTAGGCAAGTGACACGTAAGGCATTTCTTGGTGGGAACGGAGCAGCTGGCCCTGGGCGAAACCTTCAGCTCCTGAGATAACTGGTTGGCAGGGAGAGTGCAACCCTCCCTGTTGTGGGGACGTCAGCCTTGGAGAGAGCCCCACCACTAGCTGGGGCCTCACAGACATTGCCCATCACCATGTCCTCCTCACCCAGTGCTGGACATCTCAGCTACCCAATGCAGCTCTCCCTGCACCCACACAACCAGGCACCATAAATTGCTAAAAATAGCCCTGCTTGTAGAGGGAGGCCACTGCACTTCCCTAAGTGCTGTCCCACCAAGGGTCATTCTCCCTTGCACTCAGCCAGTGGGACAGGCAGCTCCTGCATTTGCTCTGGCCAATGGGGAACAGCTGCCATGATAATATTAAACATGAGAAGGACATGTTACATCTCCCTGGGCTCATTTGGTTGCCACCCTGGGTGAGAGGTGCTGTCTAGTCCAGAAGTCTGCCTAGTCATGGCCAAGACTTTGGGCTTCAAAGGTGGGTTCATAAAACCAGCAAAGAAAGAAGCTCTGAAATAATTTGCCTATGGGGGAAAAATGTCTCCTGGCTCCCTTTGCATTAGAGTTTTGCTGATGTTTCGAAGCAGAAGGGTTATTTCTCTTCAGAAACATGCTCTTAAGCCTTCCTATAACACATTTTTTGCATAAACCTCATTGTAAAACTCTGAAGGACAGCACCTGGAGATCTACTTCAGGAAAGAATGAGACACTCATGCAGAAAAGAAGAAAGAAACTGGTTTTATTCTTGGGACACTGAAGTCTTGTTACAGCATATACCTGCATCCCCCTGACTGTTTTTGCCTGCACAAGGATGGATTTCAATGGGGTAGGGCACACATACAGACCAGGAGACCATCACAGGAGGCAAGTAGCCATTTACGATGAGTCAGAGCACATGGCAAGTGTAACTCAGATAGGGATTTTCCAGGGACCAGTCCGCCCTGCCAGGAGAATCAAGGAGCTGGCGAGGTGATCTTGTTTCCTAGAAAAGGCACTTCTGGGACCGGAGTTGGTGTAGAAGGGGACATGGAGGCAGCAAGAGGAAGTACTGGGAGCAGGAGAGGGAGATGCTTCCCAATTTAACCCATTATGTGTCACGATGGGGCAGTGGTGAGAACGGGCGAGTTATTTTCAGTGTACCGGAAGAAGCAGCGGAGGCCGTCTGCAGGCCTGTGCACAGACCAAGGCTGGCACAGAGCCCCCTGCACCCGCGGGAGGGGCTGCGAGGGCTGGGGCCGGCCGCGGTGGCAAGAGTGGGAGCAGCGTGGCAGACATGGCCCGCCTGGAGCCTGGTGCAGGAGGCAGGGGGACAGGAGGGGGAAGGCAAACTGAGCGAACTCATTCTGTCCATTCCTTCTTGATGGACAGGTTCCACTCCCAGGTGAGATGGTCGTGCTTGTCATCATCCGTGAAAAAGGACTTGTTGTGGTAGGTGCCTCGGGCCAGCATACCCTTCGGGGCCTCTTCAACTGGCGTCAGGAACTCATACTCGTCTGGCCGCGGCCCATAGCTGCCAACCATGAATGTGGCTTTATCCACTAGGAGAAAACAATCCACAAGGGATGAGCCTCTCAGGTGGGGAGTAAACAAGGGGAGAAGCCAAGAGCATGAGCACAGATCACAGACAGAAAGGAAGCAGCGCAAAGAGAAAGGGACAGAGGTCAGCAAAGGGGACAGAATCAACATAGGAAATGAGAAATTTGATTAAGTGAAGCTAATGAACAGCTGAAATGATAGAAGGATGGACAGGCAGATGGACGGACGAACAGGCAATTCTCTCCCATACATGCTGCTGGAAGGGAGCGGGTATATGCAGTGTATTGCTAGACATCTCTCTTGATCCCTTGCTATTTCTCTTTCGGTGAGAAGACGACACATCTGTGCTGAATGGGATGCTGGAGCCTTAGAGGTGTCTGTATGCAGAGATGTGAATGTGAGATGCGTGTGTGAAGTGGGGCTTTCCTCTGCCTCGCCTAGGCAGCGCAGCACTGTACAAACAAGAGAGGCGATGGGCAAAAACAGGGCTCTGCGGACAGGGCAAAGCTTTGTAGAGCAGCTGAATTTTACCAAGTGCATCTGGAAGACTTTTAGGGGGTGAAAAGCTCTGCCAGGGCTGTGCACTCTCTAAGAGGCAGGACAATCTATGGGGGGCGGGGAATGGACAGCTCTGTATGGAAAGGAAATCTCTGTGGCAAGCACTGTCTAAACAGTGTCTCTAGAGACATCTCTGCTGCAGCCTGTGGTGTAGCATACAGATACCAGAGCTGGTTTGCAGGGAGTTCACACAGACACAGGAAGCAGTTGGCCTGGGTGACACATAGTTCAGGCTAATGTACTCCGCTAGGAAGTCTCCTACGCGGCAGCAGAGAGGTTGTCTGGGCCAAGAGGGGCTCTGTCCCAGCCTAAAGCTGCAGGGAACACTTCTGGGAGCAGAGGGGGCTCACAGGGGTTGGAGCATTGGTGTGCGAGCTGGGAAGCTCTCTTACTCACCCTTCACCCCTGTCCGGTAGGTGTGCTGCACGTATTTCAGTCCTGACACAATGTCCCTGTTTACCTGCAAGAAGTAACCAGGAATAAGTGTCACAGCCAGGGTTTTGGCTCAGTATCTGCTTTTTTTCTCTCCTTAGAAACATACTCATCTTAGCTCCCTACACAACTGCTCCCAAGGGCCCAGCACAGGACATGTATTGCTGAGGAGAGCCCTGATGTTATTACTCCACAGTCTCCCAGAGACCTATGGCATCATCTGTGTGTCTGAGGACATCTCTCATCCTCCCTCATCTTTCCCCTGACTCTGAGGTTGATCGGAGCACATCAATCAGCTTTCCAGGATGGGCTGATGAGGGCAAACCAAAGTGAAGCAGGAAGTTCCCAGATAGTATTTTCCATATTGAAAACCAGAAGCAGTGACTGGAGTCATCCCTTTAGCACAAAGAGGTGGACAAGATTAGCTGAGTTGTCGCTGCTGCCCTCTAACATCGATGGGAAACTGGCAAGTTTCTTTTCAAGACATGGAGGGACATAGTTTTTGTCCCTAATCTTGCCTCAAGTCTCCCAAGGGTAGCTTGGACATATCCCCTTGCTTTCCCTGCCCAGCACACACTGCCTCCCTGCAGCACGATTCAATCTGAAAACAAGATGGGCAGATCCTTTTACATCCCAGGGGAGAATCCACATGATGCCAGCCCTTTCCAGCCTTGGGACTAAGGGGGGGGGGTTAGAACAACTTGTCTGGCTCCAGGTTTCTCCTGTCAACAAGGTTGAGATACGGATGGAAATGTTTCATAGCACAAAGGAGGGGGCTGGAGGTGTCCCTGGGGACAAAGTTATCTCCAGGACAGTGAACAAGCCTCAGAGAAGGAGGGAAATCAGAACACACACATTAACACATTCCCTCTCTTGTTTCAGGAGATCTTTCCACCCTCCCAATTCACTTTCTCTGCCAAATCCAGCTTTGTTTGCAACAAACATTTGTGAAGATAATCATTTAGTGCTGGATACCACATTGCACCGTGACGACGTTTCATTTTCAGTTGGAAACAGGAGAAATGGCTGACGCATGTTGATTGGGAGAGGGGGAAATGAGCCTGTTTGGGTGCATCATGACACAGAAGATCTCACATATCTTCAGCAAAATGCTACAACATTTCATCTTTTTATGCATTCATCAAGCACAGCAATGCAGACTGAATAAGTTATAAAAGTACTTCATAGAAAAGAAACTTCTCCCCCCCTTACATTCCCACTCTATGTGGATTAAAGATTTTCAGATGGCTAAAAATTCAAGTCAAACTCAGTCAAAGGTAGTTTTGCTACCTATCTAGCAAAACAACCTGCTGTTCACAATCACGGGTGGATAAGAAGCAACTTCTTCCAAGAGGTGAGCTAACGACAGCAATCCCCTGGAAAGCCCTGGTGCCTTGTTGGGTAGAACAACACCTAAAGCTAGGGGTGCTTCCCACGGGCCCTGCTTTCTGGTAGGCACGCTGCCAACTCTATCCGATAGACTGCTGGTGCCGGGCTTCAGCAACCAACAAGAAGCAACTGGAAGGAAAGCAACTCACTTTGAAGTGGATCTTAACTCTGTATTCAACTCCTTCCTTTAATACGAAGGTCTCTTTCTTGAGTGCTTCAAGGTCACCTATAAGAAGAGGATCAGGCCATTAGTTAGAGGTGAGAAGAGACCACATGCAGGGGGCTGGGATGGGGCTAGGATAGGTGTGAGAGGTGAGCATCCCTTTGAAAGACTGCATACCTGCAAAAAGGACATGCAAAGGTTTGTGTAAGCATTTGCACTGTGAGCATACACGCACAGAAATTCCTGCTCCTGCTCATATGCATGTGTCTGTGTCCACATCTGTGTAGGTAAAGTACGAATAAACACAGGTCTAGGCACATATGCATGACGACATTTATGTGCAGACTCACAGTTAGGTATTCACGGGAGTATGTAACATGTTTCACCCAGGCCCAGCACCAGGCTTGGGTGAGCGGGTGATAGGAGCCGGGCGCGTTTCACAACTCCTGCCTGGTACGCGAGGCTGCCCAGGCTCGACAGGCCTCTGTGTGGTTTCAGCTGAACAGGAAACCTCTCTGCTGCTCCAGGCCCAGCTTCCTCTCACTGCTGAAAAGCCCATATAAGGTGAAGCCTGAATCTCTCCCCATGTCCCCAAGAGCCGGAACTACAGTATTGCTTGATTCTGAAGTTTCAAAAGTCTGTTACCCTAATGAATGCACATGCCTTGGGCTTGTGAGGCCTAATTGAAGGGAAATATAAGCAGAAGGCAAGAGAAACCCAGGAGCTCCTAGAGCACGCTAAACGAAGAGAAAGACCTTTGACACTTTCCTCTTTTACATCTTCTTTTATTTTTCTTGGATGTGTACCTTAAATAAGCAACAAGGCTAAGATGTCCCCAGGGTTCCTCTAAAACCCACTGCAGCATCCCCAGGACAAACTTCCTTTCAATTTGAAGCATGCCAGGGCCTTTGCTTGTTCCCCTGTGTGCCCAAGGAGAGTCTGTACCTACCTGTAAGGTCCATAGTGATCGGTCCTGGAGCAGAGTCACATACCAGGGTGAGTCGGGTGACCACCACGTTGGGAGCTGTTGGGTCTGCAGGGTAGGAAAGTTAGGGGGAAGCTGTCAGCTTGCAAAACATAATGGGGGGAGGGAGGGAAGGAGAAACTAAAGAAACGTGATTGTCTTCCCGCCTAGACTTTGCACTTGCACAACAGGGCCCACGCATCTGCACCAGTTTCTCAGCAGGGATCCCTCCAGTCACCATCCCAATACCTAGAGACCTTTCTGCTACAGGAGACTCCCTGCTCCTTCTGAGCAGCAAGGTCCCCTTTAAACATATTCTGGTCCCCTCATGTTTCTCATCCCTCAAGAGCCCCCCAAAGCTAATTTACCTCCCACTACAGGTCCCTACCCTGTGCTAACACTCCCTACTACCTTACACGTGATGGTCAAGGCGTCCTTCCTGCCTCCTTTCTGTGCATTTCTACTTGTCCATCCCCAGTCCATCCCCATCCCATTCAGCAGAAGCAGTGCACATGCCTGGCCAAACAAGCTCCCTCTTGCCTGGGGCTATCTCACACCCTGCCCACAACACACTGTTGTTATGCATCACCCCAATCCCTTCGCATCAGGGCGCTCCAGCTTACCTGCCACTACAGGCCCATCTCCCAGTAGGGACTTCTTGTACTTGGCGAGGCTTTCGTCGTCCTTGTCCAACTCTTGCAGCTCCTGCAGTGTTTTCTGGGGAGGAGGTTTGTAGTTGAGTTTCCCATCCAGCTCATCATCATCTTCCTCCACGTGAGGTTCTTGGGTCTTCTCAGTCATGGTCACTTGGTCTGGGTAACAGAAGAGAGGGGCGGTCAGTGGGATTGCTCCCACAGGGATGTAGCGTCCCTGGGGGCACTTGTTCTGGGCACGGCACAGCTCAGTCCCCCGGGCTGTCGGGCAGCCACCTGGCCCCACTGCTGAACTCAGCGCGGTATCAGCACAGGCAAATGGCGGCAGCGATCGGCTGCAATTCTGACGCTGCCGTGCCGATACTCTGGCTTCAATACAATCCCCCTCCTGCCCCCGCTCATCTCCCTGCAGGCACGATGCGCACACGCAGACCTACACCATTCCTCCCTCCCAGGGAGGAGGCTGCGGGAGCAGAGCCTGAAACCAGAGTGATTTACAGCCGCTCTGTGCAGCATGATTGCTGGCCAGCAACCCTGTAATTACAAGCCACCGTACAAGGCTTCAGCGCTCACCAGCTATCTGGCACAAAGAGCCACAGCCACACACCAGGGCATGGAAAGACATGAATATAACCCAGGTCGGAGGTTTTATTTGCCCTCTCATAATGGGGTTATAAGCCCCACTCAGACAGGGTTTCACAAAGAAATCACATACCTAATAGCAACTCCCTTACATGAGAATGAAAGCCCTCAAGAAAGCGATCCCGCTTCTGTCTATC